CTTGAACAAGTACAAACTCTGATGAAAGATGCAGTTAAATTTTGATGCTCAAGGAACTTAAGGGAAGTAATCAACTCAGGGGGAGTTTCTCCTAAACCTTTTATTCTTTATTTTTAATTGAAAAATATAGTTTTTGTCATCATCAAAAGGGGGGAGATTGTTAGAACATAGTTTGATTCTACAACCCTTGGTTAGAGTTTTGATGATAGCAAATACAAAGAATAAATAATAAAATACAAAGAACAAATATGCACCTTAAAAATTATGTTTTATGTATGCAGAAGTTCTGATCATATCAACATCAGAAGATAAGCCATAAGAGCTTCACGCTGAAGCAATCAGAACATACGCTGAAGAGTGATGACCATAACCTGCGCTTAATCAAAGTAAACTATGATTCTGAACAAGAACATACCAATCCAAGTCATCAGTATTCTGAAGCATCATCAGCAAGTAAGGAGATAAGATTCTGAAGCGTTATTGATCATTCAAGACAGCATCAATTCCAACGGCTTCTTTCAGACAGGATCTTCTCCAAAAGGAAAGTGTGTTAATGACATTAAACATGATTTATGATCAACGTCATTCCACTGCCTATATAAACAAAGTCAGCTTTCAAAATCAACAACGATTTTACCACATTACAACTCACGCATATTCACAGCTGCAAGCAATATTCTTTATATTTCCAAGCTATAATCGTGTGTAATTTATCACAGTTGTGATAAACAGTTTTGTAAGAAACATAACAACACATATCTTGTATACTTACGTTGAAATAGTGTTCCTTGAGATTAACTGGATTGTGGTTGTACTCAAGAAGACTTTAACAGTTGTTAAAGTAGCTTTTGTAATCTTGTTAAGATTAGTGGATTAAGACCTCGTTGGAGAGAGGCGATATCACCTTGACGGATGGACTGGAGTAGTTTGAGATCAAATGAACCAGGATAAAAAATTTGTGTCATTGAGCTGTTAATTTCAAGTTTTCAATTCAACCCCCCTTCTTGTGTTTTTCACATCTTCAACTTGGACCTGAACTTGTTCGTGAGACTACTGAGAAGGTGAATTTGATTCGAGAAAAGATGAAAGCTTCCCAAAGTAGACAGAAGATTTATCATGACAAGCGAAGGAAAGACTTAGAATTTCAAGCGGGTGACCATGTGTTTTTGAGAGCTACACATGTGACTGGTGTTGGGCGAGCATTGAAGTCTAAGAAGCTCACTTCTCGTTTTATTGGTCCATATTAGATTTTGGAGAGAGTTTGGAATGTGGCTTATAGAGTGGCTTTACCGCCTAATCTTTCGAATTTGCATGATGTGTTTCATGTGTCACAACTCTGGAAGTATATTTCAGATCCATCTCATGTGATTCATATGGATGATGTGCAAGTATGGGATAACCTTATGATGGAGACGATGCCTGTACGGATCACGGATCGTGAAATAAATACGCTGAGGGGCAAATAGATTGCATTGGTTAAAGTGGTTTGGCTAGGAGCTTCCGGAGAAAGCATGACTTGGGAGTTGCAGAGCAAGATGCGAGACTCCTATCCTGAGTTGTTTGATTAAGGTAAATTTTCGAGGACGAAAATATTCTAAGTGGAGGAGAATTGTAACGCCCGTAATTTAATTAATTATTTAATTAAATTATTTTTGGAATATTTGTGAAGTTGTGTTATGGTGATAGTTGATGTGTTATTGTTATTGGGTTTATTTATTCTATTAAGTTGTGGAATAATATTAGAATAATAATATTATTTGATGTGGACTTATTTTAAGGACTAGAAGTAGTAGAAATGGGGTGTAGGAGTTTTAAGCCCATTTAGACATAATGAGAATTATAGGGTTATTATATTATTTATTTAGAATTAATAAGGAAAAAGAAGTAGCAGTGAGAAGAGAAGGAAATAAGGGTTGGAAGAGAACGTGAAAGTTGCAGAAAAGAAGGAAAAGAGCAAAACATAATTCAATCGGAAAAGAATCGTAGAGCAACCTTCAATCCAAGGTAAGGGTGGGGTTCTGACTCTATAATAGCATTGATGATGAGTAGTATGTGGGATTAGAGGTGAAAAGTTGTTTTGTTTATGATTGAATTATATATATTGTTGTTTGATGAAGATCAATGATTTAGAGATGAATAATGATGCCCTAATGCTGTATAATTGATGTAGAAACATATGATTATTATAATTGATGATTACCTATGATTAGAGGATGCTTTTAGGGCCTAAGGCAGGGAAACCGTAGTGAAAACATAGTGAAATCGCAGAAAATATTCATGACAGAACAGTATGAATCGACCTCAAAGGCCATGCGTCGATACATACAGGTTTCTGGACTCAGGATGAGTCGATACTAAGGAGCATGCGTAGATACATACGGTGTTGCAGACTCAGTATGAGTCGATACAAAGGGATTACGTGTCGACTCTTGCAGGATTTTAACCCAGTACGCATCGACTCACAACATTATGCGTCGACTGATGTAGTCTGATTTTTGACAGATTCTTCCGAAGGCTGTAACTTGAGTTTCCGGACTCCGTTTGAGGTACCGTTTGAAGCGTTGGATAGCTAACGCGATGAACTTCATTCTTAAGGATTAAAACTAAGGATAAGAAGAATAATCATAGTACCCAAATTAGGATTAGAGTTAGTGTCCCGCGTTAATCACTATGATGATTTTGTGAAGTATGATGAGGATGAGATGATTATAGATTATTGCTTGGTTCATAACAGTAAAATTAATGATGATAATGATGTAGTATTACAGAATAATAAAATGTAGAGGTTTGTTAACTAGAGGTAAGACTTAGATGATTATTTAATTATAGGCAATATCATGTTGTAGGCCTATGGCCAACATTGAGGGATTGTCGATCTATCGATGTATTGTTGTCGTGGCTGAGTTGCTGTAAAATTATGTTGATGAATTACGTTGATGAAATTATGTTGATGAATTATGCGATGAATTATGTTGATGAATTATGTTGATGAATTACATTGAGGAAATTATATTGATGAATTATGCGATGAATTATGTTGATGAATTATGTTGATGAATGATGTTGAGATGCCTCTAATAATTGGCAGCTATTAAGATGTAGGCTTCTGGCCAACGATGATGTTGTGTTGAGATGTTGTTAATTATGGTTGTTTTTATTACATTCATAATTGTGTCGCATACATTGCATTTCAAGATAGAGCTGATGCTCGTTAAGATGGCATATATTGGCGAATGTTAAGATGAAGACTTATGCCTTGTTGATGCCTCTATTTATTGGTAATTATTTGAGATGGGGGTTCTGCTCCAATGGTACCACATGCATTTGCATAGTATTGAGTCGCATTATATGATTGCATAAAGAAGTTGTGTAATGATGCGGTGAATGTGTATATTATTGGTATTCTGTTGCGATTATTGTTGTTTATAGGATGAGAAGCGGTGATGTTATATGATCTAATTTAATATACTATTTATCATACGTTTTATTATATTGTTAGATATCTCACCCCTTTTGTTTGAATGTTACCCTTACGTTGGTAACGTGCAGGTAATCCGGAGTGAAGGCAGTATACCTTCGGTAGTTCGAGTCGGTGTCATTGCTCTGATACGTAACACTCGGGGGGATGAACGCTTGTTGCTTTTAATTATTGATTATTCAAGTTGTTGAATTAAGATATTAAATTATTCTACTGTTGGTTCATCTGAAGTTTTAAAGTGTTCTGTATCTATGTTGAATGCAATGTGTCTTTATGTTGAATTTGTGGCATCCTGATTCAGTTGTATGATTTTTAAAACTCTGATTTACATTCATAATTTGCCGGGTAGAATTGGGGTGTTACAATAAACATCCATTAAGTTGGTGTTTTAAGGCCATGAATATCACTTTGAAATTTTACCAAAGACATGGTTTCTTGTCCCTTTTTGAATTTGCTATGAACCTGGACATGCTTGCACGAATTTTTTGGGCCTTTAAGTTGTCCAAAACATCAGCCCAAATGCTCAAATCTCATTTCCAATTATTTTATATATTTTATTTTATATTTATTTGAATAAAATAAAATAAATATGTACAAAATAGGTAGAAAATGTAAGGCATGGTAAGAATGATTTTAGAGGTCCTCTATAGGCTTAGGAAGATGCTTGAACTCCAAGAAATTAAGCCATTGACATAAAACTTCAAGTTTGCTCAATGCATAATTCTTTAAAAAATTTCCCAAATTTTCCCAACTTGGGCAAGCCATAACTTGCTCAATTTTTATCTCATAATGATGATCTTGGACTTTTTGGAAAGTACAAGATGACTACTTCAATCCCTCTTTTGATCAATTTTGTATTTGAATATTTAGTCTTGAGGTAAAAAATCTTAGCAAAAAGTGACTTTTGTTGACTTTCTGAAAATGACATGTAATGTATGAGCTTGTATCTTTCAAATGGTGTATTTCTTGGACTTGAGGTCTGAAGAGAAGTTGTATGGAATTGGATCCTCTTTAAAATGAGCTTTGGTTGGAGAAAAATGGATAAAATATGTGAAAGTTATTCTTGGTCAACCTTGAGCAATTGAGAACTTTAATGAGCATGCCTTGAGTGAAATTGAGAGGACAAATTTTGAGATACAACAGTTGGGTAGGAGAGAAACATGCTTGTGTGGACTTGATTTGAGTTTTTCTACTGATAGAATTATGGACGAGAGGTTTTACTGTGGGACAAAAAGCAGTTTCAACAAAACACAATTCATACCATTTGCTTTTTGATATTTTTGATTTTCTAGCACCAAAAACAATTTATCATTCAAATCCCTTAAATAAGTCATTGAAACTTACACAAAATATACCAATAATCCAAACAGTATATATTTAGTACATGATCCTAAAGTAATTAGACAAAAAGAAAAAAAGAAATACATATAGAATATACAATTAGATTGGAAATGATAGTCGCACATCACCGTATAATGAAAGAAATTATATTAATTTATACTTTTGGATCTTCGTGGTAATGCTAGTGTTTGCGATTGCGAAGCTGGTTATTGTTGGCTGTGACTGCAGGAGCAGAAGTGGGACGAAAATAATCAGATCCAGATCCGCAGGCTCTTGTACGAAAAGATCCATTGAAGGAGTTATTAGCTGATCCCAATAGCAAACGCTTTGAACTATCTGAATGCTTCATCACTACGTGCTCATTACAATTTTGCTTTCTGCTGATGGCGCCAATAATAAAAGGAATCAAACCTTCCATTGTTATTTGCTTGCTTATCTCTGAATCAAACTAATATGTTTGGTTTGTTGAATGTGTTGAGTGATATAGGATCCAACTAATGACTGCATATTTATTTATACTAGTGTCCGCAGGTCACATGTTTTAGATTTTGGTATTAGTTGACTGCTAAGATGCAAAATGACATCAACGCCCTTCTAACATACTTTTCTTTGTTTGACAATTGGATATGATGCACAGGTGACAAATCTGACTATTAGATATGTATATATGGAACTATAGTATGGAAGGAGTTGAAACCTTTTATTTGTTTCTTTATTATACTTTGACCATTTTTTTCTCAGGCCCACACGGCATTCATCATGCGCAACAGCTCATGGCTGACACAACTTCCAAGAAAATACAGCACATAACAGAACAGGACAGCAGCCTGCAACATTCTCTATAATTTGTATGCATGCACGCATGCATTCTCATCTTCACAAATAATCACGTGATCTTTAATTTCACTTATTTTTACTTTTTAATATAATAATTATTTTTAGTTTTGTTTTTTAATTTTTCTTTTATATTATTTTTAATATGTTAATAAAATTATTTTTTGTAAAAATATAATATTTTATAACAATATTATTATATTATTTAATATGTGTATAAAAACTTTAAACAATCTACCATTATAAAACTGGAAGGAATAAATCATAACTATAAAAATTGACTCGTAAGTTGGTATCCGCTTGTCATCACCTACTCTCTCTTGACAATTCTATTTACAGCTGGATATTTACAATTTAGATAAGATTTTGTTTGATTCTTATTTTATGTTTTATTGAATCTATTGGTGCAAGATGATGAAATTGAGGAAGAAGAGAGAAAATGATAAATGTTAGAAAACTGTCACTAATGATTGAAAGAGGATTGATTGTATTAAATGAAACCTTGTACACCTATTTATACACAAAAATAGTAAAGATAAGAATGTCACATAGGTCCTAAAAGAGAATATCCAAAAATGGCAAATACTAAATTATCCTCTAATACCATCTCGTAATTTAGTAACTATCAAAAACTAACAACACCAATTTCATTTCTCAAATGAAAAAATTAGTCTGTTTTTATTGCCTTCGTTAGAACATCTGTCAGCTGCTTCTGAGTGTTATAGTGCATAACTTATAACACTCCTTTTTGCACTTGACTTCTCAGAAAATGATACTTCGTCTCAATATGCTTGCTTCTTCCATGCAGCACTGGATTTTTGGCAAGATTGATTGCAGACTTGTTATCAATTAACAGCTTCCGAGGTTTCTCTATCTCAATCTTCAAATCCTCCAGAAGATTCAGAAGCCAAACAACTTGACATGCAGCTACAACACCTGTGTGATACGGTGGGAGAACTGACTTGAGGTTTTGCGTTTTGTGTTCACAAATGTTTCGGTTTAGTAAAAGTCGCCACCGACTTTTTATTTTATCTTAAGGAAAGGTCAAAAAGCACAGGAAAGACCTTTGAGATGTTTTCTTGGGTTCGAGGAGTAGATTATGAAAAGGGAAGGTGCAAGCACCCTTTTCATCCATGGTTATCCATGGGCTCTTAGTTACTTGTTTAGATCACTTGCTTTTGCTTTTCAATTGTTTGAAATGGTGCTTTGTGTGTGGTTTTGAAAGATGTTTTGAAAAGAGGCCATCGTTGTGGCAACCTTTGTAATGATTCTTGTTTGAATGTATACAAAGGTGTTTTAGTCTTTTGAAAAGATTTCAATGTTTGAAAGTTTTATTTGGGAAATGTTTTGAAATTGTGTTGTGAAGTGTGTTTGAAAATAGCAAGGATGTTTTTTTGCAAGTTTTGATCAAGTAACTAAGAGTTATCTACCCTATATTACTCAAAGATCTCTCCTATATGTTTTTAACCCTTTTGACAATGTTGTTTCACCATTGCATTTGGTGAACAACCTTGTGTTAGGATGTTAAACGGGACAGGCGCGGGTCATCGTACAGACCATGATAGCAATTGTGTTAAGTATTTTCGGAAAATTTTTGAGGGACTTGATCATTTTGTTTAGGCAACCAAGATAGCGTCATCGAGGGACTATGATCTTTTGTTTTTTTTGTTTTGCCAAAGTACCCAACATGCATAACATGACCCATTTTTAAGGCAACAAGTGGATTGTAACCCTAGGGGTGCAAGTGTGTATTGTATTTGATTTTCATGCATTTTTGTCTTTGATTAGGTCAAGCTACTTGTTGATTTTGATTTTTGCATACAAACTCTAATATCTAATCATGACATAATTGAAAGCGTAAAATGCGAGGATTTAAAAATCTAAGCTATTACAACATGATTATGGGGATGGGGGTACAATATTTGAATGGGGGTGTATTTGACAAGAAATATAAACCCTAGTTTACTATTACATCCAAATTGAATCTCAATGCATAAATGTTAAATGGATAATATTTAAATGAACAAAATAAATATATCAAATAAAAATGAATTATGCAAAAAAAAGGTTTTTGTTTATTTATGTATGTAAAAATATTTAATGTAAAAAAAAAGTAGAGAAAATAAAATAAAAAGATTAATTTTATTTGGTTAAGGGTAAAACCCTAATTTTCTTTAAGAAAGTAAATATATTAATTATTTTATTTATATAATAAAAATAAAATAGTATATGTGAATAAAATAAAATATGTTTATAAAAAAGTAATTTTTAAGTATATTTAATAATAAATAAAAGTGTAATATTTTATATTTTTATTCTAAAAAAAAGGAGTATATATATATATATATATATATATATATATATATATATATATATATATATATATATATATATATATATATATATATATATATATATATATATATATATATATATATATATATATATATATATAAAATATATACAAAATATAAAATAAAAATATATACAAAATAAAAAAATATATTTTAGAAAAATATTTTCATTGTGGATAAAAATGAAGAAAAATATAAAAGTATAATTTATATATTATTTTCAAGTTTTAATAAATAAGATAAAAGTATTTAAATTGCTTTTTATGTTAGAAAAATAAAAATAAAATGCAAAATAAAAGTGAAAAAATTATGAAAATATTTTTGAGCATTTTTTATATTTGGGAATAAATAAATAAAATCAGAAATGGAAATAAAAATTCAAAAATATAAAATATCAAGAAAATGGGCCAGGGGGTGCAAAAAGTAAAAGGGGGGGTGTTAATAGTGAGCCAGGCCAAGCCCAACCCAAACCAACTTCGTCTTCAACCTTCAGATTTTGAAAACGCGCGCGCCCTGTGCAAACACCAGATTCTGTATACGAGCTCTATTGCAAAAACACATAACATCAAACTTGTAGAGCATTTCAAGACGATTCCAACCATATAAACAACTTGTCTTAACTCTCAAAGACCAGAGAGAATTTCTCTGGCCCTAAAATCTAACCTAGTTTTTTCAGTATGTTCATGGATGAAATTCTCTTAGCATGCTTAATATAAATGAAAACTGAGCATATGTACAGCTTCATGGCAATGAATACTACATTTCTTATTCACAAACCTAAGGCTAAATGTTCCTAAATAGAGAGATAGGAAGTGGAAAAAAACCTGTTTCAGCTGACTTCGTGTAGGGCAATATGGAGCTTTTCAACAAGGCTTGAGATGTCTGGGAGCTTGCTTGAACTTCACTTGACCTTCTCCAATAGCCTGCTTGCTTTGAATGTCCTTGAACCAGCCTATAGAACTCAACCTGCACAAGCTCAAAATGAAAATGGCAAACTCTGTAAATGGAGTTACAGTTGGTGTGTGAGGTTTGGGATAGCTTGGATGAGTTGAATAGAAAGTGTTTGAACAGGTTTTGGCCAAAACGCACGAGCCAAATGAGTTATAGAAGTCAAGTTGTAGGTTCTGCCCTGTTTTGCCAATGGATGGTGATTTCTGGCTAGGGGATGTTTGGAGGCTCAAGCAATCGTGTTTCTGGCTCAGAGGGATGTGAGAAAGATGTCCAAAATGTTTGCACCAGCTTGTTTTGACTGATGTTCCAGTTCTCATGTGTTTTGCATATTTCTTGTATATGAAGCAAAAGTGGGAAGTGATATGTAACAGGCCTGTACAGGCTATCCAACACCTTGTAACCTCTGCTCTTGGCCCCTCTAATTTGTGGATTTGATTAGCTGCAAGAGAGCTTGGACCAATTCTCAAAGATTGTGGTTTGACATAAAGCACATTTAAGCAAAAATGGAAATGTACCTTTTTCTACTTAAGGCTTAATTTTGTGTACAATGTCCTAATGACCAAAACAATGGATTAGATCAATAGATTTGCATTAAATTATTGAGTGTGAAGTGGTTTAGAGGCCTGTAATCTAGTGCAAAACATGCTGACTTGAAATTGCAACATGTATGAACATGAATATGTCATGGATGAAAAGTGAGTTTTTGCCAACTTCAAGCCTTCGATTCTCTCTAACCACAAATGTGTTTGAGGAGTTATTGGACATTTTGGAAAGCTTGAAATATGCTCTATAATCCATCTTTGAAATGAAACTTGAGATTCCAAGTTGAACTATGTGAAAAATGGCCATGAAGATAGGTCAAAATCCTGCCTAAACTAGGGCAAAATTTCACTAAGTTAAAAGTTTTAGGGACCCTTGTTCCAAAAATCATAACTTGAGATCCAAGCTTATTTTAAGACAACTTTGTGAATCAAAGTTGTAGACTTTGTGGAGGACTACAACTTTCATGTTGGAAGTTTTGTTTTAATCCAATTGTATCATAGTGAAAATGTGGGTCAAAGTTAGGAAAAATTAAGAAAATTTCATAACTTAGAAAAATTCTAAGTTATGAAATTTTTCAACTTTTAAACCCTAATTTGCAAAAATGGGTTTCTTGATGAAAAAGTTTCATGTTTTGACACATCTTGATGAAAAATGACCCTTGGCACTTGATTTTGACCAAAAAGTCAAAGTTTGACTTTTCAGTGTACAGTCAAATTTGATCAGTTGACTGAAAAAT